GGGTGACCGCGAAGGAAAAAACAACACTTCAAAAGTCTACACACGCAGGAGAGTGGACAAGCCACAGTGTTCGGGAGTCTACTGCAAAGCATGCGGCACGTGAGAAGAGAAATATATTAGCAAAACAAGGAGAAAAATCAACAAATTAATCGAGGAACATCAAAAGGTTTACAGGAAAATGTATACCGAAGGATCAGAATTAGCGAACACATCGCACAGACTGGACACGAGATAAACTGGAAGGTAACTGAAATAAGGGCTTTATGCAGAGAAAACACAAAATGGAAGATTAGGGAGGCCATTGACAGCATTGGCGTGAAAAATCTAATTAACAGGAGACTGAAGGAAGGCGGAGCTAGCGATAACTTTGCCTATTGCTTAAGCGAAAACGGGGAAAACAAGGATACGGTAAGACCGGCAAAAAGGAGACCCCTGGATCAAGGATCTAACGTCAGACAGAAAAAAATGGATCGTGAGGAAGAAGGAAGTAGGAAAATTTCGGAAATCAAGCGAAGACAGTCTCAGCCTGCTTGAAGAAACCAGTACAACCTTTTGGGTCTGTTAGTTGAGGAACTAGGAAGGCAGATAATCACAACGACCACAGAAATTAGGCATTATGGCCAAAATATAGTAGAAATCCATTCGAGATGCAACAGTCGACCAAGGATAGGTGTCCACAGTTTGCCCAGATTACACGGCGCTAATCAATAAGACGACCTGTGAAGACAATGCCTAATATCTGCAAGTATTGAAGTCAGAGCCTAGGCGCTTTACTCGATGAGGCGGTGATGAACGTGCTTCTTTATGATGGCTTAAGAAATAGAGCCTGGAGTAAAACACACTGGGACTGGAATCGTGTGAAATCGGTCAACCAAAAAAATAAGGAACGGATCTACGGAATCATGAAGGAGATCCGATTAGGAGGCCCGAGCCGGATTAGCTGATCAAAAGAGATGAAAAGTGGATGTAATGACGACACACTAAACTTGCCAAAAAGGGCACACCTTTTGCCAAGTGAAATGTAGACGAGTCAGAAGTTGTGATAGTGTGGGAGTGGGATAAAAGGATAAGTAGACAGATGGGCCATGACAGAAATAGAAGTGATAGCGCAGCCGTTTCGGCAGCAAGTTTGCCCAAAAGTTTGACGTCACTTGCCTCTTTGACGAGTTGTAGCTAAGTGCTGAGAATGGCAAGACTCACTGAGGATGCCGGCAAAGCGTCTGAGAATATACCAAGTTTATGATCGGATGCTTGGAATTATGATAGCTACTATAGCAGAAGACTTCGGACAAGGTCCGTCAGACAAGTCGCCCTGACAACAAGACCAGGTTGCAAAAGCGAGGTCAACTCATTTCTAAGTTTGAAGATTGCTTAAGTTGTCCGCTTAAACAAGAATTTTTAAAGCAAAATATAAATAATCTGGCAAATATGACCTAGAATGATGAGTAACTGAGTACTAGACATTGGTTGAGATACGCGGAAGAGACACGACTCATAATAAGATGTCACCTACAAGTGCATTTTGAACCTGTCGTTGTAACTAAGTCTTTTATGGACTCATTTTGCCATTCATAATCGAATTTGGCGCCAGTCTAATGAAATCCTTGTGTTTTGAAAAAAGAAACAAACCATACAGAAAAACGCTGAAAGCCTTAAAAAGTATCCAACAGGAAGGACAAAATAAGCCTGGCACAATACAAGAGAGCGTGATCTCTCGAGTAACTTCATTTTGTTCAAATTACTCTGCCACCAAATAGGTGAATTGGACCTTATTCATAGAAGTATATATATATATATATATATATGTTTCAAGTTTATTGTCCACAGAACGATTTAGCCCTAAAAAAGTCACATTGTGATTAAAATACAAACATCTTATACGATAGACCATCAAGGCGAAAGTAACATACATTTGTTAAAAAGCAGCTTTACAAATAACATACAGCTAGATGCCACCTAGCAAAATTGTGATATCTACATAGGCCTCACATAAACAGACGAACCTGCATTAGCCTGCTTCAAATCGGAGACAAGACAACGATTCAGTGCAATTTCGCCCTGAAGACGTGCTGTCCGTCCACTTGCATTCGCTTTGGCCAACTCTTCGTTCTCTTGCTCAAGAACACGAATCCGACTCATCATGCGCTTTCCATTTTGACTGATCAACAAGTAAAAAATGGTGAGAGAAAATGCAATTAAGCAATTATCAAATGATTTTTAAACTTGTACTTGGCAAGAAGACTTGGAGACAAAATTAAAAATTCTCATAAGAACAGTATACATCCCAGGCCACATAAAGTAGCAAGGGACTGAAAGTTGAATTTTCCAACGTTGATATGAGTAGGCCCCACGTCGCCACTGATTTTAATCAGGCCTTGCCTCCCAAAAATTATTCTCATCCGGGGTGGGTTGCCACCTTGCTTGGGTCTCATCAGCGCAGTTAAGGAAAATCGAACCCCGATAGTTCATTGTTAATTTTCAAAATGCTATACTGCCATGGGTGCCTACAGGCCACAGGGCAGAAGTGAATTTCAAAGTAAACCGTAATCGACCTTGAACAAGAAAACCTTTTTATAGTCTAAATGAAATTCATTGGGATCGTGAGGCCTACTCATATCACCGTTGTAAAATTCCACTATCAGTCCTTAATCACCCTAAACGAGCTAGGCTGAATAAAATTCTTAATTCAGATCTACTTCTAGTATCAAAGCATACTCAATAAAACATTTATCAAGTTGCCTCTAATATTTAATCTGACAAGGCAAGTTTACTGAAAGTTTCAATGTAATCTATGCCCTTAATGAAATTATGTTGGCAAGAGGAATAAATGCACGAATTATGAGATAAGTAGTTTTATGTCAATAAAAAAGCAATTGAAAAAGAGGTAATGATATACAAAATATAGGCTTTAAAAAGAATTTAATTTAACAGGATACGAAGACTGTCTCAAGGAATTTAACAGCTTTGGCACCACCGTATAATAAAACTAGCGCAGAGGAAGATAAATCTTCCCTTGTATTCTAGTAAGGTCGACTCAAGAATCTCGTAATCACAGACTCAAGCGGAGTGAAGGTGAGCTCGATAATGATACCGAGAGATTTATCAAAAGCTACCTTCAATTACGTAACTTACGTATAACTCTAATTAGATTTCTACTTACTACATAAAAATAAATAAAACAGGTTTATGATGGTATAGTTAAGATAGATAAAAGGAAGTTACCTTTTAATTGAAGACATAATGATACAAATGGCGTGGACTCAATTTTGATCGCGTTTTTTTGTATATAAGTGGTTTGGGCCCATTTGCGCAACCTAGATATTATCAAAGAAATAGGCGAACACACCTGGTCCGGAGTCTTCAAGAAAATTTCCAGTGTTTTAATATGGACTTGGTAGGTACTCAGCCTTTATAGTCATAGGAAAAAATTAGAAACCATCTCTTATCTCCCCGATGTAGCAACTTTACTCGATTACTGCCACCATAATCTTTCTACTCAAAATATTATTTCCTATGATTTACCTAATGCGCTTGATAGCCAGCATGCTATGGCCTCACCAAACAGGCCCCCAAAGCCTAGATCCTCCATCATATTAATCTGGTAAATCTCGTCACGAAGCCTTTACTTAACGGACCACTTATTTGAAACCTGTGTATTGTTACCCCATTGTCTTTGGTCTCTACTGCATGTCTCGAGCGGATTTTTATGTCAACACCCGAAATTCTTAAGTCGCTTCCTTGACTTGACCAGGACCACAAAACCGTCTTCTCCTCATTTCAGATTGTCTTAAGCTAAAGTAATTTTAATGTAGATTTGAGCTTGTTTTCGCAAATTGATCATAGCGCCCGGGAGACCTGGTGGAACGCATCTAGTCCTGCGTCCCCTGTCGTAGTATTCGTGATTCCCAACATCGGACGATTGACTTGGTAAATTCCCAGAGGTTTCGCCAGCATTGCCAATAAAAGGCGTCATCGTTAGCACAGTTACAACTTATTAAAATAATTAGTTACTTTTCATCGACAAATAAGTGAAAAGAGTTGTCTTCTCCTTCGCAATCACCTGGATATTCTATTTACATACTATCGATCGCAATTTTTGATTTAATTTAAAAGAGCAGACATATCCACTTCTTATATTAAAATAACGATCATTTCGTTTGAAGAGGCGAGTGAAAATGAATCGTAAGTTGTACACACCAGAGGCTGTAGGGGGATTCCCTTGGAGTTGTGATTGTAGATTTGTATGAATAGGTTCTCGGCGCGCCGCCCTTGGACCCAG